GGAGGGAAAATTGTAATACTCCTCAAATTTATAAAAGTTCGAGACACGCTATAGTGAATATATATATATATATATATATATATATATATATATATATATATACACACACACACACACACACTTAAATAATTGAATATACAATTAGAGGAATATTAATAATATATTAATAATTTTAGTGTTATTAATTATTAATAATGGGTATCATTAATTATTAGTTAAGTTTTAAAATTAAAAAATATATAAAAAAGGAAAAAAAAGGATAGTGCACGTGACCTACCCATAAAGTGGGTACAAAAAAAGGAATACAAAGGGCTTAATGCCGTGAACAGAACAGAGTCATTCTGTTTTCAAATGCAGGCCTGCGAAACCGAGGCAGTCACGCACGGAAAATTCTAGGTTCTTTACAAGTCAAAAATTCTTGAACTCAGGTATATAAAAATCCCTATTGTTAATTACCGTAAAGTAGTAATAGGTAAGAATTGAATAGTCAATTTCATTCTTTCTCTATATCAACAATAAATTTCATGTTTAGGTGTGAAACTTTAAAATTGATTAAAATGCACTGGTTGTTGTAGAATCGATTGTTTGACTGGTGTCAATTAGACTGGGGTCTACGTATTGGCTCGAAAAGTTTTGAGGTGAGTTGATATAACCCTTTACTAAAATGGTTTAACTCACAAAAGCACGCACACAAGGTGTTTGATGAATTGCATAAAAGAGTTAATATATATTTAATTGGAGTAGTAAGTACCTATTAGCTTAGAATTATTTTCTAGCTAAAGTTTAGATGATTATCTGGATATATGTGCATAAATTTCAGATTTTTATGTTATTTTTATATGCCTTTTTCAAGTTGAAAATTCATGAAGGATCAAGAATCTTTATAAATACTTTTGAATGTTTATTTCATTCTTATGTTATGCCTAACATTTAAGATACCAGTATGAGTATGTATAAAAGATTTAGACTTGAAAAGTCACAAGAAGAAGTTTTAGAAAGAAAAGATTTTTGGGAGTATCCTTTATTCTGAGAAGGGGTCATCGTCCAGGCCTAGGGTCCTGACCAAGGCGTTGACTTCCTGAAACTACTTGTGCCAAAGTAGGGAGCACACGAGCCGAGGATCTCGTTGCTGAGAATTTACTTAGCCATGCTAAGGTATGAGACATGAGCACTGAGAACCATAAAGTGAGTGGCACCTCGTGGATTGGGCCTATTCGATCAGGTTGGGGTCGAACCTGTGCTGATCACACGGTGACTGAGACAAAATTAAGTTAGGATAGTTGGAACTCCCAAAGTATAAAGTGAAGTATTTTTTTTTGTAAGAAAGAAAAAGAAAAGAATATTCATAAACTGCTATTATGCAATTATTTAGAATTATTTTTATAAGCTTTATGTTTTACATGAATTTAGAACATTTGCTCGTAATGTATATGTTATTAAAGTTTCGTCCCCTGTTGAGACTCACTGAGTACAAATGGTATTGACGTTCTCTTTTGGGAACCTACGTTGGTCTGCGGTACAACGTAGGAACCGGATTTGTAGGCGAGCAGGCTACGAGTTAGGACTTCCTTCTCTTCCAGTGCTATTGTGAGCTCCGCTTTTGTTCGTGGAGTATTCCTTAGAGTCATCTTTATTTAGTTATTTATTTGTTACTTAGAGAACTGGCCAGGAAATCTCATGTCCTGAGCAGTGCGTCAGTTTATCATTAGAGGCTTCATAGACATAGTCGTTGGGTTAAGATTCAGATGTTTTTGATAATAACTTAACAGTATTTCATTGGTTACTATGAATAAAATTTTGGAGTTGATTTATTTAAATGTTTAAATTAATCAAAAGTATTTGGTTAGAGTATTACCTTGTTGCATAAAAAGTTTGGAGTTATAATAGATTTGATAAGCAGAGATGGTTCGCTCGGTCATGTTTAGTGATCGAGTACCGGTCCTGGCTTGTTCAGAAAATGGGTCGTGACACTAACAGTTTTCTTTCTTCGCGTTCGCATATTCTAGTGCGCTATCACGTAGTTATGCTTCTTCTTTCTCCGCGTTCGCATCTCAGATTCCGCGATCGCACAGCTTAATCGTAATAGCTAGCATAATCCCTTCTCTTTTTTGCGATCGCATGCATCACCTCGCGATCGCGTAGTACAATATTGGCCTCAACATTTTTCCTTCTTTGCGATCGCACTTGTCTGTCCGTGATCGCATAATGCAAATCTGTGGCAGCCATTATTTCCTCTTCGCGATAGCATCTCATTTTCTGCGATCGCGATGTACAATTACCTGGGCAAGCAGAATATATTTCCAAATCGAGGGTTAGATCATTTTTACCATATCTTGACTTGTGGAGCTCGGTTTTGAGTGATTCTTTGTGGGTTTTTCAAGAAAATTGATTGGGTAAGTGTTCTTCATCTAGAATTTATTATATTATATGATTTTATCTTTATTTTTATCATTTAGTTTATGTTTTGAGTTGAGAAAAAATGGTGGTTTTTGAAGAAAGTTTTCAAAATGAAACTCATTATATGAAGGGCGAAATAGTATCGGAATTTGAGAATTTTTGTACGGTTGAACTCGTATTGGAATGGGTATTCGATTTTTGTAAAATTTGTCGAGCTCCGAGGTGCGGGCCCGGGGGTCGACTTTTGGACCAATTTTTGGATTTTGTTAAATATTGAGACTTTATGATATGGAATAGTTCCTTATGAGTTTTATTTGTGCTTTGAAGTTATTTTGGTTAGATTTGAGCCGTCCGGAGGTCCTATCACACGAGAAGTTCATTTTTGAGTATCGGTTTGTCTTCTTTGAGGGAAGTATCTTGCCTAACCTTGTGAGGGATTTCGCCTTAGGATTTGAGTCTTCTATATTGATTGTAGTTCGTGTACGCGAGGTGACGAGTGCGTGCTCGAACTTATTTGTGAAGGTTGGCCTTTAGGGTTCTTAGGTCCTTATATTTATTGAGTATGAAGTTGTTCTTGATATGACTGAGTTTCCTATTTACTAGTTTCACCTCTACATGCTTAATTGGAATTAATTGCTTTATGATTCACTTTTATTGTCTATTTGACTTAACTGATGATTTGTACCTCTCCTATTGTCATGCTATCTTTTCATAACTGCCTATCTTTATCTGGAATTATTATTATCTTATCCTATAATTGTTAGTCTTAATTGAGGTTGCAATTATCTTTCCTCTGCCTGGCCTTAATTGAAATTTGTTGTATATTTTCGTAATTGCCCGACCTTAAAATATGTTTAGACATCCTATATTTAGTTGACATGACCTTATTTGGAATTATTTGACTCGTGTTAGTTTCCTTGTGGTTGAATTGTATATTGGGGGATTGTTGCTACATTTTAATTTTCCCTTGTTAAGTTGTTTTCTTTACGCCTAGCATTCTTTACTATGGTTATTCCTTGTGAATGGGTTATATCGTTTCTTTGTGATTTAAAGTTCTTGAGTTGATTTACTTGCCGTATTTTGTATTATTATCATTGTTGTTGTTGTACTTGTTGTAATGATGCACGAGGTTTCTGCCGTGCTGTAATTGTTATCTTTGTTGGTTGCGCTGTATATTTACTTTGGGACTACGGAACGGTACTCCGAGAGATCTCCCCTGCATATTTACTTCGGGACTAAGGAACGGTATTCTAGGAGATCCCCCTGCATATTTACTTTGGGACTACGGAATGGTATTCCGGGAGATCCCTTTGTTCTGCACATTTGCTTTGGGACTACGGAATGGTATTCCGGGAGATCCCCTTGTTCTGCACATTTGCTTTGGGACTACGAAACGGTATTCCGGGAGATCCCCTTGTTCTGCACATTTGCTTTGGGACTACGAAACGGTATTCCGGGAGATCCCCATGTTCTGCATATTTACTTCGGGACTACGGAACGGTATTCCGGTAGATCCTCCTGTGCTGCGAACATTTTACGTGATGTCCGTTCTTTTCCTTATGCATACTAGCTGGTATAAATTATGTTAGGATACTTGCACAAGCTTACACATAGCTAAGCATCCTTATCGAATAAGAGGTTTTTCTTGATATTCCTGAGTATAGAGGCACACCCTTGTTTATTTGCCTTCCATGTGCGAATGGGGCTCTATTTGGCACGTGAGTCATCCGTGCGATTATGAGGTGTGATGAGGTCACAAGACACCAAGTGTTAGGGTTCGGGTATTGAGAACCGTGAGTTGTAATTATTCGTGGTTCGGTACTTCGTGAAGGTTGTTGACTAAAGAATCAAATGTGAAAGTTGTCGTAGTTGCTGAGATATTATTTATCCTTGTTGTACCTGTGATTTCGGATTTAGGTTGTGTTTCCGCTCACTCTTCTGTGTCCTTATTATGGTGTTCCGCTGTTACTTGTTATTTTCTTCCTTATTGCATATACTGTATTGTTAGCCGTATTGCGTAGTCTTTATGCAAATATCATATTCTGTTGTTTTCTATGCTTATACTTGTTCAGTTTATTAGACCAGTAGGTGTCTTGACTGTTCCTCGTCACTACTCTATCGTGGTTAGTGTTAATACTTACTGAGCACCGTTGTGGTGTGCTCATGCTACACTTTTGTATATTTTTACGCAGATCCAAGTATTTGCTCGTTAGTAGTTGTGCGGATCATTACTGTGAAGACTCAAGGTAAACCTGTTGCAGCGTTCGCAGGCTTCGGATTCACCTTCCTATTTTTGTATTCACTGTTTTACTTTTTTCCAAACAGTTGTATTTGGAAGCTGTAGTAAACTCTATAGAGCTTATGACTTGTAGAGACTTCTATTTCGCGACTGTTAAATTGTAATTATTATTGCTGTTATTCAGTACAAGTTAGGCTTACCTACTCCCTAAGACTAGGTGCCATCACGATACCCAACGGAGGAGAAATTGGGTCGCGACAATTCCAAAACAGAAACATTTTTTAACATACTTCTCTCCTATCTGTTATCAATTCAAAACTGTTTCTTTCATAAAATTAAAGCTTACAGAGAAACTTAAGGATTTCAAAAACAAAATTATAAGAAACAAGAACATATTTGGTTCCTTGTCGACATAACTTACATAACTGAGATTGTGTGCCTCTTGCTTGTGTTGTATTATAACACTAGCGAAATTATCTCCAGACTTCAGTTCGTCCGATTTTTCATTCAAAAACTTTGTTCCTTAATAAGCTCTTTTCGCGAGCCTTTAAAGTCAACCAATCTCCTGGCAGTACAGAAATCACTGATATATGCAAGACTAATTCATAGAAGTTACATACACCAAATGAAGAATTGGAGCACAAAAACATAATACATTGAAATATCATGATCTAGCGAAGTTATCCAGGCTCTACCGAATGTTTTTCACCGAGTTAGTTCCTTCTGCCCCGATCACGATCACCATCACGAGCTCGATCACGCTCACGGTCATGAGCACGCATACCATCACCGTCTAATCCTCGCTTTCTATCTTGCTCTTCCCCTCTTCCGAGAATCTAGTCGCCTCTTTTCATAGCCCCTCTCATTCCTATTGTCTCTGTACCTAACTCCATGTGCATGACCACCACCATATTCCACCTCATCTTTCTGATCCGCCTTTTCACTCTCCCTCCAATTCCCCTTATCTCCATGCCTCACTTTATCCGCATGTCTCTTATCATGGTCAGGTCTCTCTCTCCCAGCTTTGTGGTTATCATAATCAGTGTTTCTTCTATAATCCAGATCGTTCCGACCCCTATAATCCCTCTCCTTCTCACCACTTGGTCTCGTTCCACTTCCACGATGCCTCTCTTCAGTTCTGTAATCTTTACTTCTCCCCTCCTGCCTATGGCATTCATATCCATCTCTTTTTCTATCCTTCCGGACTCCGACATCATCCAATTCCCTATGTTTAGGATTGTGATTTTCATGATGTTTCCCATCTTCATAATATCTTCCTCTCTTATTTCCTTTAGGACTTCCAACAGCATCTTCGTCAAATACCATTTCATACCTTGATTTAAATGTTTACAAAAGTTAAAGCTTTAGAGAGAGATAAACAGGAGGAATGAGGTGTGGGTCACTAATTCCTACAAACCTTGAGTTACCATCTCCGCCACGCTGCTTGTTGTCTTCTTTAAGTACGTAGTTCGACTGCTGTTTGGCGGCATCACCAGTGCAGTCTTTAGCCACGTGATCAAGAGAACCACATTTGAAGCAACCTCTTCCTGAAATAAATAAATGCTATCCATCAGCTTTAATTGGCAGGGGGGCCTGCAACAATGTTGCTTGCAATCCAATGTCCCAAAAGAGCAGATACATATAAGAAAGGTATTTTGGAACTACATTCAAATGAAAGTTATCATAGAAAGAAATCAATAAGCAAGCTCACAGAGGGATACCTTACTTGAGATTGTGGGAAAAATATTGCTGGCAAGCTCACGAAGGGATACTTTAGGCTGGAAAGGCAGCAGGGATAGAAACTTTTCAGTGAAATCTTGTTGTTAGACTCTGATAATGAACGTGGCAGGGGATGGTGCTATATGACACTGGGAAATGATTTGGATACAAAATAGCTTTCTTTGGATGGGTTGTAGCAGACAAAGCTTGTCTAACGCAGGAAAAATTACAAAGAAGAGGTTTTAACTAATGTAGCTGGTGCTATAATTGCAAAAAATAAAAATAAAAATAAAATAAAAAATAAAAAAAAATCGTGATACAGTTGATCACTTGCTAATAAACTGCCATATTGTGTGGCAGAATTTGGTGTATGTTGATTTTGCTTTTGATGCTGATGCAGTGCTGGAATTTTTGGATCCTTACAACTATATGAGGATTTCCACCCAGCATGTTATTATACTTGCTCAGTATCCTCTTGGTACTGAGATCTGTTAATAAAACTTACTTTTACCTATCAAACAGAATAGACTAATTCACTAATCTATCACCACATTTGACAACCTTGAGGGAAAAGTTCCTATAGGATAACCCGTTCAATGTAACTCATTTACGGAACATAATCTGTCAATTGGTTACACCAACTGAAACAGTAATTAATTTTAGGGAACCACATGGCACAATAATGACACTGAGTAGAACTATCAACAGTAACTACTAAAATGAAGTTATGATCCTAAAAAGCATAAATCCAAAATGCACTTGCATGGATGCGAAAATCAGACTATCATCTACACAGATGAGCAAAAACTATCTGATATCAAATTCAAAATGTCATACAACCAGATGACATCATCTTACTATAGTACTCAGTTTCTAATGCAAATAAATCCCATTCAGAATTGACCAGACAAACACATTACACGATGTGCAAAGTTTACCTTTACCCATATGGTCTTTGCGTCGATATTGGGACCACAACTTTGCAACACTCTGGCTGAAATCAACATGTATCCTTCGATCATCAATTAGAGTATTATCCATCTATGAAAAACAGCAAAAGTTAGTCATCTAAATCATAGTTCTCCCACCATGTATGTCGCTACCTTCTAATTAAGTATAAAAACACATACAACTTCAATGTTCACGTAACAAGTTAATGAATAAAAGAACAAAACAAGCTAGATGGGAATGCACACCATTTTCAAGCACTCCTGCCTTCAAGATTGATTGTCCACTTTCATTTTTTCTTTTTCTTTTGATGAAAAACTTGTCTACTTTCCTTTCTGGCACGTTTAAAAAATATTGTCTGCTTCCATTAAAGGAAGTTCTACCCCACATTCCATCACACCAAATGTTACAAGGATTCCACTTTAGCTCACACCTCTTGTATCCATCGTAAACCAAAAACTGACATGGTGTCCTCATATGTTCCTCAACTGAAATGCTTAGGATAAACACTATAAAATTGACTCAGAAAAATAAATGATCAACAGGACATTCCATTTGAGTAGAAAACGCATATTTTTCTATCAGGAGGAGGAAGCAAAAAGAGAATATTCAAATTAACAGAAAGTCATTCATTCAGTTTGGACTTTGGAAGGCAGCCACCTCATATGTAATGCTACTGCGAAAGATAAGGTTGTGCTTAAACCACTTGCAACTCGATTTCATCAGTATGACACTCCTCTTTCTTCCCTTTTTATCCCTTTTCATCTCCCTGGTCATATCCCAAGGGAAAGGGAAAAATAACATGTTTACAACCTGTAGCTTATGATGCCATAGGGATCAAAAGGTTCAGGAACAAAAAAGAGCAAAAGAACCCCATACGCTATATAAATCACTATATGCCACAGGGTGATATAGCCTCTGAATCAGTCAAATCGTTACCTACACTGAGTGAGATATACATCTTAGATCTGTTCTGAGTTCACAAAGAGAAACTCTAAGTTTTTGTGTTTTTTTTTGGAACAGGTAAAGATGTAATTCTATTAAAATCAGAAAGCTGGCACTAAGATGGTGCCAGGGAATTACAATGTTTGAAACCTTCCTGAGCAAAAACAAAAAAGAGAAGGTTCCACCTATATAAGCACATATTCCTGTAGTGAGGATGTCGAGTCGAGCATGCTACTTCTGTTATTTATATCCTGAATATTTGCCCAAAAAGCCAAAAGCCATAAGAGAAATTCTAAGTTTAATGTTATTCGAGAATGGGATCTATAGAAAACAATCCCTTCATACATTAAGCAGACAAGTTGTGAATACAAATATTATGCCAACACGTTTATCAAGCACTGCTTCTATAAACAACAGCCTTAATGCCCACCAATAAGGATCTTTGAAAATCAATCTTTGCAATCACTTTCAACAAACGTATCTCATACACATTATATCATTTGAAAAAGGCCTAGTAGTACGGGTGCTGCATAATCAGTATTGGATTTCCTTACACTTAGCATCAAGATCATACAGTACCAAAAGGAGAAGCATCTGTTAAATGAGATACATCCTAACACCAGCATTCAGTTTTCACATTAAATTTGAAGCTCATAAGTACGAACATCTTAAGTCATTTGAAAAATAGATACAATTAATTAAATACATTTTACATTTCAATAAAGCATTCTTCTTCAGTACCTTATAATATGCTTGTTCACAGGCCTCTTTGTCCTCAAACTCTGCCAAAATAAGAAGTTATACAATCAATACAAAAGGAAACACAAAGGAAAGAAAGCATTCACTTGCACAATGATTAATTGGGGTTAAAAGAAGAAAAACAACATAGCTAAACACTATCCAGTTCAGCAGTTACGCAAACAGAGAAAGGGAAACAAAAGTGAAGATATGAAACCCTCTCTGCAAGTTCTGTCCCCTTTCTTGCCTTCTCTTCTGGAATCTCCTCAAAAGCTTGTGCAAAAGAGTTATACCCCAACATTCCGTTGTTTTTCTTTCATATTCTTCAATCCAAAGAAGCCCTAACGTTGACATGGGTTATTCCTAGTGAGGGTGAGAAGAGAAGAGTATCACTGGTAAAGGTAGCAGCCTGACAGTGTTTTGAATAGCATGAGGCGACAAAAAGCGATGAGGACTCGCTTCACTAAGGCGAGAAGCGTACTGCTCGCATTTTTTATGTGAAGCGCCAATTAATACAAAAAAATAAAATATTAAATTTGCATATATAAATAACTAAAAACTCAATAACAACAGCATATTAATAAATATATCAATTCAAAAACTCAATCGATAGAAATCAAATATATTAATATAGAGAGAGAGATATAATATATTATTGTTTATAGAGAAAAATTAATTATAATTAAAGAGAGAAAATAACAGTTATTTGTAATTATAGAGAGAAGTTAATATGCAATTAATAGTTTACTAAACTGGAAAAAAAATCAAAAGAGAGAAACAGAAGAAGAAAGAAGAGAGAAGCGAAAACAGGGGTCAAAGAAAAGAAAGAAAGAATATTTCTGCCGGAAATCAGTTGTTGCCGAAAAGAAGAACAAAGAAGACTTACTACCGGAAAAAAGAAAAGAAAAGAAAGAAGAAAGAAGAGAGGCGTAGTGCCGGAAAAGACGCGGGAAAACAGAGGCTTACTGCCCAAAAAAGAAAAAGAAAAGAAAGAAGAAAGAAGTACCTGTAAGTCGAAGAAAACCCTAACTTTTATTAAGTCTCTTCTTTTTTCTTTCTCTTTTTTTAAAAAGCGACGCCTCTGTCACTACCTCGCCTTGCCGCCTGGTTGGTGCTACTTCGCCTCGCCGGCGCTTTTTAAAAACGGATCGTAACAGATCAAAAAAAGCGCCTGATCCTCTCTTCGCGTCACTACGTCGCTAATCGCTACTCGCTATTAGCGACGTAACGAGCGCTATTTACAATAACACAGGTTATAATATGATCAGTGGTGAAGCAAACAAATAAGGCGTGTATCATCAGTGGTGATACACACCTTGTGTTTAGAAACGTCTTGGCTGGGAATGTAAAGCAGGTCAGGCATTCTTAATGGAAATAAGATCACATTAAGAGGGAAAGGACAGAGAATGGTGATGGCATTCACCACCTTAGATGATGATCAAGGTGTTGTCTGTTTACAATAGATCGTCATTTCCGACAAAATAGCAGGCACCAATAAAATCAATTGGAGATCAAGGTGTTGTTTTCAGCTACGAGTAGTATACAGCCAGAGGAGGTTATCAATCAAAGATTTTAGAATCATCCTGATCAAATACTATTGAGGACTTTGCATTGGACAATGTTGATAAAGTAGTATACATATTGGTATTGTTTTCAAAACTCAAAAGTATATATATAGGTAGGAATATCGGGCAAACATAACAGGTCATCCATGGTTCAGATAATTTAGAGAACTTTTCCTTGAATAGTGCAATACTAAAAGATCTTCCTACCGAAAGTGGCTGGTCAACACCAGTTGCTCTCTTAATAGGTTTTTGACACCCTTGAAGGTACTGATATTGCAGCAGGCCTAGACTTGCTGGATGGCATGGGTAACTCACATCACTTCCTTAGAGTTTAAGATTATGGAAAAAAACACATTACCGGGTGAAGAATCAGCAACAAGGTGCACATATTTTTGTTAAGCTTTAATACCTCACAATTTTTTAATGGAATCTTAAACATACCAATGAAAGCATAGCAGAGGCTATCCCCAGTCTTGAAGTCCCTAATAATTTCAGCACTGAGGAGAGCAAGCAATAAGAGATGAGAGAAATTTCAACACATATTGGCACTAAATGAACAATAAATAGCATGTAAAATATTCAAAATATGATAACAAACTTACGATGTCACGGTTCCAAAGCGTGAGAAGATTGTATACAGGTCTTCATCCTGCATGGAAAAATATTGTATGATGGTACCAGAAAGAAAGATGGCATACGTGTTCAAAAAATTGGATGATCAAGAATTAAAGCTTAAACAATCTCTTTCCTTTTAAAAGACTTAACAACAAGAATAAAGCAAAAACTTACTTCAGTAACTGGATTTAATTTACAAACAAACAGCACATTGTCAGGAGGCTTTATCTCAGCATCAGGAATGTCTCCTACCTGTGACACGAGTTAGCATGATTACAATTTGGAAGGCCTACAATTTTTGAATGATCAAACAGTTTACAAAAGTTCTTACACTTTCAAGTACTACTGCTCGGGAATGTGCTTCTTTTGCATGCAGAACCTCCTCAAGTTCTTGTATACCCAGTTGCTCATCCATTGGCACCCAATCATCTTCTAGTCGCACATCATCTTCAACCTAAGTAGATAGAAAGATGTAAGGGCATGAATAACATAAAAGGGTAATTGCTTGACTAAGTGGACAACGAACATGTTAGGGATATTATTACATATCTTCTTTTATGAAAATTTCATTCCCAAGGAAGATGGGTATAAGGAAGAGCCTTAGGTCCCACCCTGTGATCACATCATGTGTGCAAGCCATGCAGTCTCATTGGAGATCAGGAAGGGAATCGCGAAACATGCCTATTGTTTTACACCAAGAAAGAAAGACTGCTCTATGCAATACATATTATGCTAAGTATATATAAAAAAAAATAAAAAATAAAAAATAAAAAACCTTAGATTCTTGTTGGAATTACACAACAACAACAACAACAACAACAACAACAACACAGTGTAATCCCACAAGTGGGGTCTGGGGAGGGTAATATGTACGCAGACCTTACCTCTACCCCGAGGGGCAGAGAGGCTGTTTCCAGGAGACCCTCGGCTCAAAGAGGCAACAAGAGACACTATATTAGTACTATCAATAGACTCATAATAAAACAACATAAAGTACCATAAAATCCATAACATAACATAAATACCATAAAAAACAAAGTAACAGCAATATAAGAGATATAGGAAATACGAGAAAGATGTAAGGTATTAATACACAGGAGATAAAGCCCATCATCAGTAGTTGATCAATAGCATCCTAAGACTACTTCCTAACTGGCTAGTCTCACTCTAGTGCGCTGTAACAAAGACATCACAATTTCCCTAACCTACCACCTTAATGCTCGATCTCCACAATTCCCTGTTTAGGGCCGTGTCCTCAGTAACCCTAAGTCGCGTCATATCCTGCCTGATCACCTCTCCCCAATACTTCTTAGGTCTCCCCCTACCTCTCCTCGTACCCACCACTGCCAGTCGTTCACACCTTCTCACCGGTGCATCAGTGTTCCTCCTCTGAATGTGCCCGAACCATCTGAGTCTTGCTTCCCGCATCTTGTCCTCCATGGGGGCCACACCCACCTTCTCTCGAATATCTTCATTTCTAATCTTATCCTTCCTTGTATGCCCGCACATCCACCTCAACATCCTCATCTCTGCAACTTTCATCCTCTGGATGTGTGAGATCTTCACCGGCCAACACTCGGTCCCATACAACATAGCAGGCCTAACCACTGCCCTATAAAATTTACCTTTCAGTAACAGTGGCACTTTCTTGTCACACAGGACTCCCGTCGCTAACCTCCATTTCATCCACCCCACCCCTATACGGTGTGTGACATCCTCGTCGATCTCCCCGGACCCCTGAATAAACGACCCCAGGTACTTGAAACTACCCCTCTTAGGGATGACTTGAGAATCAAGCCTCACTTCCACTCCCGCTTCCGTCGGCTCTGCCCCAAATTATATAAATACACATCGAACAACAGAACTCTACCATTTTTTTCAGATCAAGACCCAGATACAAATCCATTGACTAAATATGGAAGTAGCAAAATTTTGTCAGATAGTGCAAAACCTAAATAATCTCTACCATAATCCTCTAGCAAAAAGACCAATCTAAAAACAAGTAATACGGCTCTCATGCTCTATTGGATGATATTTAATTGTTAAAATTCCCCAAAAGAAACAAGCTTTGGTGTAGTGTTAGGAAACCAGAATTTCTCCTAACTGTAATCAGTGAATTTGCAATACATGACAACATTTCAACTATTCTTTATTGCTACCAACAAACAAAATAAGTTCTACAGAGAAACAAACAACAATTAGAACATTAATACACCTAACAACCAAGGTATTTTGAGGAACCTTAACCTCCAAATCTGCTAGAGAAAATACTACAGAATAAATTGCCTGTCTTCCTTTCTTCCTAATATAATATAACACAAAATAACTGCCTGAACTGCTAGTTAACTGCAAGGTAACTACTACCAATACAGATACATAATAATAAATAAATAAAACAATTACATTTAAGCCTTATTTTCACCCTTCTTTTTGCGGTTATAGACCCTAGTAACAGCAGGTCTAACAATACCCGCCCCAACAAGTTTCACCTTGTCCTCAAGGTGAAAATGAGGAAACTGTGCATCAATGATTTCATAGGATTCCCAAGTGTTCTCAAAGTCTGGTAAGTCCTTCCACTTAATGAGCCACTAGCCATTCAAGAGTGTCCGACAATCCACTACACTTTCAGGTTGCACTTGCATTTCAAGTTCTTCAGACAAGAAAGGAGGGAGCTGCTGAACTGGAGTAGAATCTTTCACAGCACGCTTTAGCCAAGAAACATGAAATACGGGATGCACCCGTGAATGAGGGGGTAAATCAAGGCGATAAGCAACTTTACCAATTTTGCTCAAAACAGTATATGGCCCATAGTAACGAGGACTTAACTTCTGATTAACCTTTTTAGCAAGAGAGCGAAGCTTGAAAGGTTGCATGCGAAGATAAACCAAATCACCAGGCTGAAATACAACTTCACGACGCTTAGCATCAGCATAAAGTTTCATTTGAACTTGAGCATGAGTCAGATTTGCTTTGAGTTCATCCAGAATTGTGTTGCGAGCAACAAGCTGCTGGTTGACCTCTTCGACAGCAGAAATTTCATCAGTGAACCTCAACAAGGAAGGAGGAACTCGTCCATATAACGCTCTAAAGGGAGTCATCTTGGTGGAACCATGGTAAGTGGTATTAAACCAAAATTCACCCCAAGGAATCCATTTTGGCCACTGTTTGGGATATGCCCCTGCAAAACATCATAAATAAGTCTCCAAAGAGCGATTGACAAGCTCAGTTTGACCGTCAGTCTGAGGGTGATAACCTGAGCTTAACTTGAGGTTAGTGCCGGACAATTTAAATAATTCCTGCCAAAATTGGCTGATAAAAACCCGATCTCGGTCTGAAACAATAGATGTGGGAAAGCCATGCAGTCGTACAACCTCACGAACAAACAGCTCAGCAACACTCTTTGTTGTATATGGATGAGATATGAGAAGAAAATGGCTATATTTGGTGAAACGGTCCACCACAACTAGTATAGTATTGTACCCCATTGCTTTTGGTAATCCACTGATGAAATCCATAGAAATATCATCCCAAACTTTGGTAGGAATAGGCAATGGTTGCAGCAAGCCAGCGGGACTAAGGGTTTCATACTTGTTCTGCTTGCAAACTTCACAACTAGCCACGAAGTTTTGCACATCCCTTTTAATTCCATAACAATACAACACCTGTGAGATACGCTTGTATGTCCGGAAAAAACCTGAATGACCACCTGTAGGTGAAGAGTGAAATTCTTTAAGAAGCATAGGAATGTGTAATGAAGAACGGGGAATCACCAACCGACTTTTGAAAAATAAGCAGCCATTTTTTACAGCATAATTCGGCTGTGAAGCTGGATCTCGAAGCAAATCTTGTGTCACTTGACGAAGTTGATCATCTTGCTGAATTTCTGTGACAAGATCATCTAAGGTACTGTTGTGTAAAACAGAAAAGGCCATGAAATGAAACTGGCGGGACAAAGCATCAGTTGCCTTATTCTCACAACCAGGCCAATATTGAATCTCAAAATCAAATCCCATCAACTTGCTGACCCATTTTTGTTGCTCTTCAGCCATGACATGCTGGCCCATGAGAAATTGGAGACTTCTTTGGTCCGTCCGGATAATGAAATGTCGACCCATTAGGTAATGACGCCACTTTTGTCCAGCTAAAACAATAGCCATTAACTCTCTCTCATATATTGATTTAGATTGTGCTCGAATAGAGTCCTTGGCTAAGAAAAGCAATGGGTCGTCCTTCTTGCATTAAGACAGCTCCAATCCCAAATCCTGAAGCATCAGTCTCAAGCACAAACACCTTGTTAAAATCCGGTAGTGCCAAAACCGGCAAAATGACCATAGCCTTCTTAAGAGAATCAAAAGCTAATTGAGCTTCTTTATTCCAACTAAAAGCATCTTTCTTGAGCAATTGTGTGAGTAGCCTGGCTATCTTCCCATAGTCACGAACAAACTTCTTGTAGCAACCAGTAAGTCCCAAAAATCCTCTCAAACCTTTAACATCTTTGGGAATTGGCCAATTAACCACACTTGTTATTTTGGAAGGATCTGCTGAAACTCCATCTGCTGAAATAATATGCCCCAAATACTCCAGTTGTTGCTGTCCAAAACGACATTTTTCCAATTGACGACCAAGTTATGAAGTTTTAAAATTTGCAGCACCTCCCGCAAATGATCCAAATGAGTAGCAAAATTTGCACTATAAACTAATATGTCATCAAAAAAGACCAATACAAACTTACGTAAGTAAGGACGAAATATATCATTCATCAAGGCTTGAAAAGTAGATGGAGCGTTGGTCAGTCCAAAAGGCATGACCAAAAACTCATAGTCGCCTTCATGTGTACAAAAAGTTGTCTTCGCACATCCTCCTTGCAAACCCGGATTTGATGATACCCGGATCTTAGATCCAATTTCGAGAATATAGTGGCACCCCCAAGCTCATCTAATAAATCATCAATTGCTGGAATTGGAAATTTATCTGGAATAGTAATCTTATTAAGGGCCCGATAATCCACGCAGAATCTCCAACAACCATCCTTTTTGCGAACTAGCAATACTAGACTAGAGAAAGGACTTGTACTTGGTTGGATGATACCAGCTACTAGCATTTCCCTTACAATTCGCTCAATCTCATTTTTCTGGTAATAGGGGTAGCGATATGGACGAATATTGGGTGGATTGGTTCCTGTTTTAAGTTGGATAGCATGATCATGGCTCCTACTAGGTGGCAGCCCTTTTGGTTCCTCAAATAACGTTCCAAATTCTTCAAGTAATTGCTGCAAATCCAAATTCTCTTGTTCTTCCCTTACTGTTAACTCATTCAGATCAACATAATATCCTTCTGCATCTTTTTGCAAGGCTTTAAACAGATTTTTGAGTGAAGCCACCGATTTGCACAATGAGGGGTCGCCTCGAACAACTCGTGTTTGCCCCTCTATTTCAAATTTCAGCGTCAATGTTTTGAAATTGGCTTGGATATCCCCCAAAGTCTCTAACCACTCGATTCCTAACACTACATCGGCACTGCCCAAATCAAAAAGAAAATAATCTTGTATTACCCGCATTTCATCAATCCACAATTCCACTTCTTTGCAGCTTCGCATGCTTTTTACATGTTGTCCATTCCCAACTTCTACCAAAAACGGCTTTGTTTCTGTTTGTTTTAACCTTAATGCTTCAGCAACTGTGCGAGAGATAAAATTTGTTGATGCTCCGCTATCAATCAACACAATAACCTTCTTTCCCAATATTGTTCCCCATACTTTCAAGGACTTTTTTGAGGTAAATCCTGCAATATAGTGCAAAGACAACTGCATTAACTTTTGTGGTTCCGTCTGTTCTAGAACATTTAATTGGTTTATCCCTGCACTAATTACTTCATCTGTTTGCTCATCTATGCCTCCTTCTTGGTCATCCTCTGCTGCCACAATAAGTAGATTTAAATGTTTTAAATTGCATCGGTGATTAGGGCCATATTTTTCATCGCAGCGAAAACAAAGCCCTTTCCTCAATTTATCTTGATATTCTGCATCAGATAGCCTTTTGTATGCTCCTCCACGCCTTGCAGAAGTTTCTGGTGCTGCCGGTACGATTTCTCCTCGCTTTTGCTCGTGAAATTGTCGTGGTACTGTTGTAACAGTTGTACGTGTAGAGTTCAAGGGTGTTGTGGCTACACGCACATGAGGACTTGTACTGCTTCCTGTTCGGTTGTTGTCAGTCGTAGGGAAATGGGTTGGATCCCTAGGAAGTGCCATACGCATATGTCTTGGCAAGTGTGCTTGGTTGAGAGCCCAATTCTTCTCTTCAATACGCTGGCTTTGGTCCATTATTTGGGTTAGTGTTCCCAATTTGCTAAGACGCAATTCTGCTTTGATCTCCTCTCGCAAACCATTGATAAATATTCCCATCAAAACCTCATCGTCGGCATCTTTCAAGGGTGCTGAGAGTAGTTCAAAATCTTCTCTGTATTGGGCCACGCTTCCAGTTTGTTGCAACCCTATCAAAACTTCGTATAAGTTCCCCAACTGTGATGGAGTAAATCGTTGGAGTATGGCTACTCGAAACACATCCCATGTGACAACTGGAGTTCTTGTCTCCCACCACTGGAACCAATTTAAGGCTCTTCCTTCAAGACAAACAGAAGCAGCCTCCAATTTATCCTTGTCATCAATGCCATTGAAATGGAAATAACGCTCTGCTCTATTAAGCCACCCATATGGATTATCACCAGAGAATAAGGGTAATTCTAGCCTTCTAGGACGTGTTTCATCACGAAATTGTGGTTGAACCCCCTCACGTGTCCATCGCCTCCCTGATTGCCGCTATTTTCTGCCATCATTTCTGCCTCTTTAGTTGGATCTGCCTGATTTTTCGGATTTCCCTTCATATGTTGAAGAATTTCAGCATCATGTTCATCCTTTTTCTGCATTCACTCCCGTAACTGGCCTAGGTAATCCCGTACTGCCCCAATCTCCTCTTGTACTTCATTCATTGTTTTCTCTAACCCTTCAATTCCTCCTTCCATTCTGGTTGAAACCATGAAGGCTCTGATACCAAAAATGTTAGGAAACCAGAATTTCTCCTAACTGTAATCAGTGAATTTGCAATACAGAACAACACTTCAACTATTCTTTATTGCTACCAACAAACAGAATAAGTTCTACAGAGAAACAAACAACAATTAGAACATTAATACACCTAACAACCAACGTATTTTGAGGAACCTTAACCTCCGAATCTGCCAGAGAAAATACTACCGAATAAACTGTCTGTCTTCCTTTCTTCCTAATATAATATAACACAAAATAATAAATAAATAAATAAAACAATTACATTTAAGCCTTATTTTCACCCTTCTTTCTGCGGTTATAGACCCTAGTAACAGCAGGTCTAACATGTAGACAAAATTCTGTGTCTGGAACTGAGCAGTGGAAAGATGTGAGTTCTAGTTTATTCTATTTTTTGCAGAATTCATTGACATCCCATACTCAAGATACCCTGATTATCTTGACAAACTAACTTTAAATGGACATCGTTATATCAAGCTAAGGAACTGGTTCACAAATCAAAAGGATAAAAGAGAAAATGAAAACAGACAACAAAGCTTTTGCAGTCTCTCTAGGTGCATAACCTACAGTCCAAAACTTCAAATTTTGTTCATGTACTCTTTATGATCTGCAGCATCAAAGGAATGAACTTCAGATAATACTGTTGCATATCTCTACCAGCATAATCTTAATTAGGCAAAGAAGGATAAACTACACTTCAAATTCTATGGTTTTATACTTGATGATGCATAAAAACTCATGGAGGTGAACAAGTGGACTGGTAATATACTTGATGATGCATAAAAACTCATGGGGTGAATAAGTGGACTGTTAATTTCTACATTCTTTACCTCATCTTTTGGCTTCCCTTCAGGTGAGGCATCTGGAATCAAGTCGCTTAGCTGGGCAGGATCGTCGAAAGGATCGTCCAATATGTAAGTGTGTTTGATTCTGAAGAGTGGACATTATCAATTAGAAGAGATCTACTAAATGGAGAAAAGAGGAGCATACAATACATCAACAACGAACCGGATATTTTTAAATGGCCTGCCCTTCTCATCCACATAAGCTTCATTTATCCTATTCAATGTGTCCAGCCCTTCTGCAATCTCTCCAAAAACCTAACAGAACAAATTACATTGATCAAAATGTCGTGGACTTGGAGACAGTAACAACTTTAAGAGAACACCCAGAAATTATCTAATCATCAGACGCTTCTTCCTCACATTTATTCACAAAGAAGTCAGCATAAATAACAATGATAGAACACGAATGCTATAGAATATAAATCTCAAATTAGGCAAAACTTGGCAGAAAAACCAAGGCATTCAAGAAAAAATATATAAAGATATTTCCTTTCTTTTAGACAACCAAGAAATCCCCCTAAGCCAGTGGCGCACGATTCAAATTTCAGAAGATAATGGGCCGGCCCCAATATAAAGATATTTCCTTGACTTGTCATTAGTGATGCCACTGTACAAGATATACTATAGCACTCAGAAATTATGCATCATGTTCAGACCATAAAGAACTAGTGTTGTCAAAGGCGCGCTTAAGCCCTGAAGCGAGGCTCAAAACATGTTGAGTGCTTCGGCTCGCTTAGCGGGCACTTCAGTGTCCTCGTCAAGGCTCTTAGGCATACTTTTTCTTGCCAATAAGTGTAATCCTGAAGAGGCGATCAAAACAATTGATATTTCACTTTATTGTAATTTTTTATTTATTTCTTTGTCCATATATTTATTATTCATACTTATAATTATTAGTCTTGGGCTACACATACATATTTGAATATTTTCCTCCTTTGCGCCTTTTTCATAAAAGCACATGCTTTATTTGCGCTTTGCGCTTAAAGCCCCAATGGACCTTAGAGCTTTTTTGCGCTTTTCGCCTTTGATAACGCTATAAAGAACATATTCAATAAAAGGTTGTTAATACTAGCTATAAGTTCTAGACAACTACAAACAGCATAGTACCAATATCACTATAAATGAGTGAATTTAATTTCAGAATATCTACATAAAATCACAGATTTTGCTCATCTGGAAACTGCTTCACCTAAAATTTGACCCAACATAGGGAACAATCCACAAGAAGATGGCAGAGAAAAATTTAAGTGATCTTGGTAGGAGCAAGCAAGAAAAGTTTGAAATAAAGATATCATAACTTGGCCTCTACCTGAAGTACTTTAGGTTAAAAAATAAAAAATCACAAAATGTAGGCCAGTAAGTATCACAAGTTATCTTGCAAAGTAGCTTTTTTCATGTTATCACGACTAATGAGTTTCACAAAAATATTCTAGAATAGGATTCTCCATATAGAATCTCGAGTAACATAAAAAAACAGAACCACTCATAAAAAGAATCTTTATTTGGCTCTAATTTTCATATCACCTGAAAAGGATATCATTACTAAACTGGATCCTTAAACTTTTTCATCGGAAGGAGTATATTGGTATTTTGTGCTATTGCTATCATAATACCTCCTACCTACTTGGATGCAGGTAAAACAAAGTCGATAGAAACAATGACCTTAATGCATGTGAAAGCACTATGTTAGCTAAGAAATTCTCATATCTTCATGCTACTGCAATAAACAAATAAGGAAATGCTCTTAGTGCTGAAAACATGGTGAAATGTTAGGGCAGCTGACAGAAAAATTAATAGTGCATTGGATAAAGGATATAAGTCAGCGTTGATGCCTTAATAGAACAAAGAGGATATATGGATGAATAAAATTCAGGACAGAAATACTCACGGTGTGCTTCCCATCAAGGTAGTCGAGATCATCACGTAGCGTGATATAGAACTGAAAAAAAGGAGAAGAGTGTCATAACTATGTTATGCAGTATTACAAGCTATGATCATTCAAAAGGGCTACATTGTATTGAAAGCTAATGTGAAAGGAAAGTACAAGACCTGAGAAGCATTTAAGTTTTCCCCAGCGCTAACCATGGCTACAGTTCCCATCTTTGAATGCTTCAAGTCCAAATGAATCNGGGGGGGGGGGGGGTCTGTCTGTCATATCAAAGGAAAGAAAAAAAACCATTGCAAAAAGTGAATTTAGCACATTTGTAACTATTGACTTACTTGTATACTGAATCACCCCCTGACCCAGTTCCAGTGGGATCTCCAGTTTGCGCAGTGAAATCCTTCTGAACCGTGTGAAATAGGCAGCCATTGTAATACTTAATCCTGCATTATTAAAGGGTAAGTTTATTAGTTTAATGCTCCTTAAACGTATATGTAGCCGTTTTACATCCTGTTCTCATCGTGAATGCACTCAGATACTACTATGTTATTAATCGTCGTATGAAAGTAGTGGTGGCAAAAATGCTGATTAATACAAACAGTACTAAAAATCTGCTCTCAGGCACACTCCCCGAGGAGCCTGAGAACCTAGAATTCTGAGTTCATACAAACACCATCGGAGAGCCACTGGTGACGCGAGCCTACCCCTGCAAACAGCTCCGACATCGGATCTCCCACGCGCGGCCAAGCGCCGGCAAGCACTCCCCCACGCGCCGGCACGTGAGCCTAATCCAGGCAACTTTTCAACTTTTTTCTTCAGGACAGCCTTTTCATCACCTTGTTCCGACCAAACCCTTCCTTGCAGATCTAAATTCCGACCACTTTTAGTTTTCTCCGGCGACGTGAAGCTTTTCTCCGGCCATTTTTCAATCATTTTTCATTCAGCTGCAAAACAAAATTCTCTCTTCTTCTTCTCAAGCAGAATACCATTACGGGGAGTCTCTCAACGGAGCCAAACATCTCCTTCGGAATTAGTATTCACCCACTGTGGTTACTACCAAACACCCTCTATAATTTTCATAACCTGAGCAGCGGGTTAGTACATTATGGGAGACAGCAGGATATACTTCAATGCCGGATTCAAATCTTTTGACATCACCAGATGGAACTCCAACAAAGATATATGGTTTGAATGGGTGGAGAGAAGCCGCAACATGATGAGACGCTTATCCATGGGTAGAAAGACAATGGAATGGATTTGCTTTGTACTTAAAGAAGCCTCGACATATCAAAAGAATTTAGTGAAGAGATAGAAGTATAAGGACCAAATGACAGAACATTTCTGCACTAGGAAATTTAACGCTCATGGAAGATATATGAGTATTCTGTCACTAAAGTGAGAAGGGAGGTCAGTTATTATAATCCCAGAGTTAGCTTTGAATGCAGGCTGGAAAGACATAGCAGTTAAGATAGAAAGATTCATCTATCATGCATCCAAGCAGAATACCACAGTACCACCCAAAAACTTTGTGGACAACTATCCTTATGTCAAAGCAGTTAAGGAGAGTAAATGGCAATCCAATACCCTTCGAGAGGCAAATGTCGGTACAAAAAATGGAGATATCTCTGTTTTGGAACCTCCGGGAGCGGAGGACACATGTTTACTAAAAAGATACATTATTGGGTATTTTGGGAAAGGAATCACTGAGAGACCCATTTTAGTAGACATAAGGCGATGGCTACTGCTTCATGGAACAAAGCATATGGAGTCAACATGTATGAAATGACTGGCAACATGTTTCTATTTGAGTTTCCGAACAAATACATGGCTAAACAGATTCTGCAAGGAGATTGGAGATGGAAAAAGTTCAAGCTTCATCTGGAATAGTGGAACAACACTGCTGGATGCATTCCAAACTCTCAAATTGTGGAAACATGTTGGATCAGAGCCATGGGGATTCCCTTACATATGTGGTCACAAAGATCTTCAAAGAAATAGGAGATCTCTGTGGGGGATGGATAGCTACGGAAGAAGAAACTTATCTCAAAAATCACCTTAAGTGGGCTAGAATTCCAATTGTTGGTGACGGCAGAAAGATTCCTAATGAGATTGAGATTGAAAGAGAAGGGATCAAATTTTTCATCCCAATCTGGGCTGAAAACAGGCAAGATTTGAGCTGAAGTCGTCGGAAAACACACATAGCTTTGGAGCAGAGAGAAACATGGGCGACCAAGTGGGATGCACCATATTGCAAAATAATAATAAGGGAAAGGCACGGGTGCAACATACGCAAGGTCGTTCGACAAATCTGTGCATTAATGTGGCGAATAATGAGCTGAAATCAAATGAGTCTAATTTGGTTGCACAAGTCATTTTTAATGATCTCTCGTGCGAGGCCACTGATGAAATTAGGCTGACGCCTTATATTGAGGAACTGGGGTGCACCTCTTACTTGAAAGTCAAAGAATCCAATCCAGGGGATCCAATTCCCATTGCAAACCTTGAAATTATGCCACAGGCAACACATACAAGTTGCGATCAGCCAGAAGGTAAAGCAGAGATAGGAATACTGGGACAGAAGGCAGGGGAGCATACCATAAACAAAAAGATGGGGGAAGATCAAGTTGAAAATGCATTGGAGCACCAACAACAGCTAAAGCACTTCAACTCTATCCAAGATTGGGAAATCGAGGAGGTTACTCCTATATCAGTACAACAACACAATCCAGTAATGGATAAAGAGATGGATGCAACTTTGTGGGTCCATCAAAATATGATCAAATTGGGGAAAATGTTTGGAGTAGATTTTCAAGGCCATGAAGAAGAAGTGAAAGTATTGGTTTATGTTTAGTCAACAATGGCATGCCAATTGGAAGAGTTGGTGGAAAGAGTTGGTGTGGATGCTAGGAGGAAGCTTCCTCCTTTGATGTCACCCATGACATCAGGATGAGGTAGTTTGATGTCATCAATGACATCAAGAGGAGGTCTTTACCTCTATAAATATATGCACTCCTTCATTTGTAGAAACCATCCCAAAAATAATACAATACATTGTAGTGAGTAGAGAGTTAAGAGAGAAATTCTCTTAAGCGTAATTGGAAAATCTCCCTTTCCTTTGTTAATATTAAAAAGACAATTGTTCTCTGGTGGACGTAGGATTATTTTGATCCGAA